GCAGGCTCCTACCCTGGGGTTTTTTAAGAGGAGGTTAGATGAACACCTTGCTGGGGTCGTTTGACCCCAGTACTCTTTCCTGCCATAGCAGGGGGTTGGACTAGATGATCTGCTAAGGTCCCTTCCGACCCTAGAAACTATGAAACTATGTTCACAGCAAGGCTCTGGAGAACTTGAAAGCAGGCTGAAAGCTTTGCTAAGTGGAAGCTGTATCTTTACTCACCTCACAGTTTTATTTCATTTCAGAGCCCCCAGAAAGACTTTCCATCTTGGCTTTCCCATCTCACCTCTCAGGAGCAGCCAGCAAACCTGCATGGGGTAGGTATTCACCCTTATAGAAGTACATCCCTGTGTCCTGGGATGGGGGTGGGGAGGTAGCAGGGGGGGCCTAGGCTGGACTGTGGTGAGGGTAGCCAATAGACAGGGAAGTCCTCTGTGAGAGAGCTTGGCTGAGAGAGGCTGTTCCTCACTCCGACTCAGGAAAGTTGCACATAGGTGCCCTGCACATGCTGAGAGCCAAATGCTTATCAGGTATCTGGTACGCACACCCTTGGGCACTGGAAATTAGGGGGAAGAGATTGTTTGCTTTGGAGGTGGAAAAGATGGGTGAGAGGCAGCATCTTCTGATCAAGTAAGCTGACTGGATAATAGCTATGATCTGGATGTGCCTGAGGCACAATGATAAGCACCAATATTCATTATTGTAAAAACAAGTTTAACCCTGCCCTCTGCAGTTAGGGCTGTAGCATCTTACCCCACTTCCAGCTCCCTCCTCTCCTGACAAAGGCTGTCCCCTCAGACATTGCATAGCCTTATGGCTTAGCAGGAGATTTGGGGAGGGTCACCAGTGAGTTCTTCTCTGTCAGGCCCTGCAAGAAGATGCTGAGGTCCTGGGTTACCCTCTCCTGTGCCATGTGTCCTTCCTTGCCCTGGTTCATTGTGGGTGTGAACTGCTTTCTAATCAGAATGGTGGTACTTTGTGCTGGGGAAAGTGACTGCCCAAGGGGCAGACCGAGCCTACCTGACTGGGGAGACCATTCAGAACTCACCACAACAGGGAAAGGGAGTGCAATCAACCTATGCAGGCCCCTCCACTGGACTGCTGAGCCCTCTCTGGCAAGCTGGGATATAGTGCTTTTCTAACACATGAAGTATATCCAAGGATGGACAGTAGCTCCTGCCTCCAGGTTAGACTCTCAGAGAACTCTTTACTGCACTGAAGTTTCTTTGATTGCCCCAGTCATTCAGACACCCTTCTTCTAGGCTTATGCAGGGCATGATGCAATGGCACTTCCTCCACCCTGTCACTTCATCCCAAGGGAACAGAGCAGGGAGGTCTCTGCAACATAGAATCTTAATGCTTAGGGAGCATGTGCAGGGGTTGATATCTCAGAGGGGAAATTGGAGACAGTAGAGCTGGTAGTCAGAAAAATAGGACTAAGCAGAGAGACCTGGGCACAGTGCAGCCGAGAGAGGTGGCTGGTTACTATTCTCAAGGGTTAAGTGAAGGACAGGGCAAGCAGGGAATGGGGCTGATCCTGCCAGCACTACAGTACCTGAGTGATCTTCCTTGGAAAGAGTGGAATAACCCATGTGAGCAAGGATTCACCAGATTGCAGCTCAAAGGGCTGATCTAAGAGAACCCTGTTGTATGTGTATGGGGACGGCAGAGCCAACTATGCATGGATGGTATGGAGATATCCTGTTCCCTCCTGCACCGCATGACTGGGTGAGGTCTTGGAATGGAGTAACCCTTGTTTTTGAACCCAGCAGGGGTTTCTGGAGCAAGTGCAGGGTAGGGTGTCTGTTTTAGAAAGGCTGAGGAATGGAACCTGGTGTTGCCAGCAAGGCTCAGTGTTCAGCTCGGACATCACAGAGCAGATGACAGACTCTATTTGGATATCATGGTGTGGAATTCCACAAGTCCAAGCTGGGATGTGAGCAGTAGTAAATGACCACTGTATGCAGCCAACACAAGTCATTATTATCTGGAAAAATGTCTGAATTGCCTCTCATATGGAATGTACCTCTCATTATTTGGACAGTTTTACAGACAGCAAAAGGTGAAACAGCCAAATGCACTGTTACAAATGGCTTTCCTGGCCTTTGCAGGCAGATGTATGCAAAGAATGACGAGCAGCGAATGGCTTCAGCAGAGCAAGCCAAGCGGACGCGGAGTGGCGGGGGAGGGAAGGGGTGTCACAGGGCTGAATGTGGTACAACGGCTCCCTCTTCCCTGCCCACCTCCGCCTGCTCCCCCGGAGCAGTGGGGCTTGCAACCACCACCTCCCTGCCTGAGGTGGTGGTGGCAGCGGAGGCTCCCTCCCCCTGCCTCCGTCCACATCCTCCCCCAGAGCAGCAGGGCTTCCAACCGCCTCCCTGCCTGAGGTGGTGGCGGTGGCTCCCTCTTCCCCCACCCGCCTCCTCCCCTGGAGCAACCGCAACCACCTCCCTGCCTGCAGTGGCTGCGGTGACAGCGGCTCCCTCCCCCTGCCCGCCTCTGCCTCCTCTGGCAGTTGCAAGCAGCAGGGCAGCCAGTCACCACCAGCCCTCTTGGTGGCACATGCACAGTTGCCCAAAAGCATTGTGGACAAACAGATGCACAAACGGACAGATTAAGCCCTTTATTATATTAGAATATTGCAGTAGGACCTAGAGCGAGAGCTGGCAATGTGTAGCCCATGGGCCAGAGGTAGCCCACAGAGCTACTGGATCTGGCCTGCTGAGCTGGAAGGATTTGCCTGTGCCCACACCCATGCTGGGGCTGGGTAGCTGGAAGCTGTGTCCCTGTCACTGCCATTTTCCCCTGACCCTTACTCTCCAGCTGCAGCTCAGGTTCTAGCCATTTGGGAAATGAGCTGACTGAGGCTGGGTGGCTTCTAGCTATGCCCATGTGTTGCAGGGCACTGAAGTGCCTGCTCCTAAAGAAGGACAAGTGTTGGTTGCTGGGGCAACCACAAGGGTCAGCTGACCGGAAGGGGGCAGGGCCTGGCCTATATAAACAGCTTAGGCTGAGGCCAAGGAGGCAGTTCCCCTTGGGTAGCCAAGGAAGTGGGAGCTCTGCCGGAGCAAGCAGAGCAGGAAGCTGGATAGCCTGAGCAGTTGCGGTATGACGATACTGGGTGGAGGAAACCCTGATAGGGATGCATGAAGGATAGCCAGGTTGGCTTGGAATTTACGTTATAGCCCAGGGGCTTTGTGTTTTTTGTTTGGTTGTTATGTAAGACCGGAGGACCGGGTGAGGCTATAAGGGGTTGGAGGAGGCCTCATGGGAGCTCCCCAGTAGTGGGGGGGGTTTCTGGTGCTGGAGAGGGCGCTGCATTTTGGGGTGTCCTGACCCTGGCCCCAGTGTGGGCAGTATCGGGAGGAGCCCAGTGTGGGTGCAGACAAGAAGCCCCAGTGGGGCACAGGACCCGAGAGGGGGTCTGGAGGCCAAGCACGGCTAAGGCCACCTGATCCTCAATTGCCGGTATCGCGAGAGAAGGCCCCAGGGAGGGCGAGAGTGTATCGCGGTGAGCCCCAGGGTGGGCACACAGCAAGAGCATTGCGTTTAGCCCCAGGGAGGGCATACAGGAATAAGAAGCCCCAGGGAGGGCGCACAAGACTAGAAGCCCCAGGGAGGGCATACAGGAATAGGAGCCCCGGAGAGGGCGAGCGTACGAGGAGAGGCCCGGCGTGGGCCGCTAAGGGAAGATAAGCCCGGAGGGCATCTGCGAGGGTGTGGACAGCAAGAATAGACACACCAATGTCCGGTACATCTGAGAGGCTTGGGGTGTGGTATTAGGGGTGGTAGGAGCCACGCATAGCCCATAGGGCTGGGTGCACCAAAATCTATCCATATAGAACAGGGGCCAGGAAAAGTAAGAGCACAGGCACAGGAAACCCCCCTTGCTGCTGACATGCCACCAAAGCCACCTAGCTTGCACCAGATTGGAGCCAGGTTATTCTGGCTCACAGCCTGAAAAGGTTGCTGGCCCCCTTCACTAGAAACTTAGTTGCATATCAAGGCTGCAGTACTCTTGGTCCCATGCAAACAGTTAGTGACAGCCCCTGTGCCAAAGAGCTTACAGCCCTGGGGTTGAGGGGGAGCAGGGTAATTTATCTTTGTGCTGCCCAGGACTGGGGAGGAGCGGTGCCTAGTGAAGGATCAGGTGATGATTCTCTAAGCTGCAGCAGGGAGGTTCTTGTCTTAGTAACCGCTACTTGTTTGCAGGGACTCCCCAATCCGGAGAAGGTGTCGGCAGAGGTGCAGCAGATGTGGGTGCTGACAGAGATGATCCATGCCAACCGAGCGGCTGCCCGCATTGGGCGTTTTGACGTTAGTTCCCAGTTATCTCTGTTTACTGCCCAGGGGCTGGCCCCAGTCTTTGACTCTGGTCTTCCTGCATGTCTTAGCAAGCACCAAGAGTATTCATGCACCCTGAAAGCTGGCAGCTCCTGCATTTACTCTGAGGTGCTGTCAGTAAGCTTCTTCCAATAGATATCCCTGTGAAAATGCTATCAGGCCACTGGAATTGCTCTTCTGTGCTGAACACAGCTTGTTCCCAAGAGGAGGGGATGGCGGGACTTGAATGAGAGGACTCAAAGCCCCTGCAGTCCCAGCCTTACCCAGCTCCCAGGTCAGCTAACAAGAGCTGCTGTCTGAAAACAGGCTCTTAAAGGGTTCTTGGCTCCTGCAGTCCCTGCCTCTTACAGCAGTGAGTTGGGAGGGAGTTTTAGGGGGCTGACAACATCCTGTTCCAGGTTTTGAGATATTCCTGTAATCCCAGTCTGTCCCAGTAGGGGGTCACTGAGGAGAGGGAGACGGGCAGCAGTATTAACAGACAGTAGTGTGGCCCTGGGAAGAGCGTGACTGATGGTGTCTGTGTTTCAGGTGGATGGCTGCTATGATGTCAATCTGCTCTCCTATACCTGAGCCCTCCTGGTAGCAGAAGCAGGCAGAGCTGCCTGACCTGGTATGCTTGTCCTCCTGCTGAGGCACATTTCACCTGCATTGCTTTGGACCCAAAGGGATAGCTACATGATAAGGGCCTTTGGCTGTCCATAGCCAGTCTCTGAGCCACCTCACAGCATCAAGTGAGTCATTTACTGATGGCCTCCCTCTGGGGCCTCTTCCAGTGGCCAAGCTTCCTGCTTTTGGGCAGCCTCTTTTCCTGTATGTTTCCCTTGGCCCTGTGAAAACCATATCACCCTCTCTCCACATTACACTGGAGAGGCCTTTCCTTCTAGGCCTGCTGTTGCTGGCCTCATCCTTTTGCTCTGTGTGGTTTGGGCAGTCAGCTGAAAGTACTCTACTCCAAACTGGAGGGGATCTTCTGCACATATGATCTTGCTGGTGGCCGCAGCATAAGAACCTGCAGTTGATGCTCTTATAATAGATACTGAGTAGGAAGTAGCTTATGGCCAACTTGTGCTCCTGCCTGCCACAATGGAACAGTGCTAATGCACAGACATGCAATGTTCACTCTGTCCTAAGGAGTCCCTCAGGGAGGCCATAGCACAAACTGAATCTCATCCTGTCCCCTGGCAGCGTGGAGATGATGGGCTTAAAGGGTGATGGTTCCTTTTTTGTTGCCTTCACCTGTGAGTAGGATAGGACATGTCTTCCTTGCATGGGCTGCTGAGATTTTTGTTGTGAGTGTTAAACAGTCCCTTTACTGGTAAGGCCTGTGTGTGACAGGGCAGAGCTGAGGCCAGGGATCTTTACCTTACTAGGTCTAGGCTGGTGGAGGGGAGAGGTACGGGATGGGTAACTGCCTTTTCAGGGAGGAAGGATCATTTCCTGGAGCCTTCTTTCTATGGGTAACAGAGACAGCAGAAATCAGCCTCAGAAGAGCAGTAGGGTGGTGAGAGCCAGTGTGTTTTCCCCCTCTCCAGCACTAATGACAGGTAAAAAGGTTGGGCTTAGCATCCCAGACATGCACCAGGTGACATCTGGGGATACCACTTTCCCTATCTTCAGTGGCATAACAAAACCAAACTCAGTTGCTATATTTCCCCAGCTGCTTGGCCTAGCTAGTCTGGGGTGATGGTCAAGTAGCAACAGGCAGCCAGACACTTATTGCCTCCTAGAGACCTTGTTTCAAGGGATTCACCGTGAAGCAACTGTGTGTGTGCATGCGTTGGGAGTGGGGGGTGCTTTCCTCTGCCTTCACGCAGTTCTGGCATTCCACGCCTGCTCCTGCCAGCCCTGAATGTGTCACATTAGAACCTCAGCTTCTTTCTACCGTGGTGAGCAGGCTTTGGCAGAGCAAATTTCATGTTGCATTTCATAGGGTTTCTCCCTGACTCCGCACTATAAAAGAGGTATAAAAGAAAAGGAAAATGGTGAAACTGGTGCTCAAAGACACTGCCTCAAGGAATCCTGGACCAAATGTACTCAGTGTTGTGCCCTGATCTCTGCCCTGAGCCCTCAGCAGATAGAGGTGGCAGGAGGGAAAGGTGCAGGATGGGAAATTCTCCAGCAGACCTGCCTGTACAGGGTCATGGAACACTTTGAAAATTTAGCTTTAGCCAGAAGTGCAGGAGCAGTTGACCTGGGACTCCCTAATGTCCTTATTGCACTGGCTATCTCTGCTTTTCTTCTTTGCCTGCAGGCTGGCTATGAAACAGTGAATGATGAAGTGTTGTTTGGGTTGGCCTCCCGTCTTCCCTATGGAGCCTGCAAAGGCAGAAGCTGGCTAGACAAGAGCTGGAGCTCCAGCAGCACTAGAAGTATAGTAGTGCCCAAACCCCTTGTAGTATTTCCCATGTTTTTTCTCCCACCCATGAGAAGTAGGGTAGTGTTATCGTCACCACTGTACCTCAGGCCCAAGGAGACTTAGCAGGGGTACTCAAGAAGTTAGTGCCTCCTAAACTTGGGCCATCCAGGCTTGTGCCGAGCCACTAGGCTGCCAATTGTTGCTTGTCCCAATCTCTACACGCTGAATAGCTACAAATATGTGCCATAACTGCCCCCGAAGGCTTGGTGGACCCTGGGGGAATGGAAAGAGCCTTGTTCTGCATTCCTTGGAGTGGGAAAGGTGTGTGTCTGTTGTGCTGGATCTCTAATAAAGGAACAGACTCCGAAGCTGGATATATGTTGTGCTTTTTTTTGGATAAAGCCTGGGCCAACCTAGCTGGCGTTCCCCCGCCCTTCCAACTAAGACTGGCAGGAGCTCCCTCCATGCTTGCAGTGCCATCACGTGTGTCACAGAATTAGTAGCCCTGTTTCTAAGTTGGCACTTGGTGCCAGCAGCGTTTGGCCCAGGAGGGGAAAGCTCACCAGGCTGTATAGGAGTGCCGTGGCTGGTGAAAGGAGATGTAGTCTCCTGTGTGATCTGCTGGGACATGCTGGTGAATCCCAAGGGCTGCTCTGCTGTGCCTCAAGGCTGTCATAGCAGTCTGCCCCAGTGAAGTGTCAAATCAAACTTGGCTCTTCTGAACACACCGACAGTCCCTGAAATCCCCTAACTGAACTGCCTGGCTGGGCTCCAGCCTGTCACGGGCAAGGCCTGCACTGTCTCTTTCATACACTTCCGAGCTGGCTTGCGACACTGGGACAATGCCAGCTGGGTGGCAGAAGGGGGGGAGATTCCCTCCCAGGCTGCTGGCGCCTAGTCCTGGCAGCCTGGGTCCTGAATGCGACGCTGTTCAAGGTGCGGGCTGCTGCGGCTTCACGCCGAGGAGCGCCCAGCGGCTGCCTCGCCGCCGCCTCCCCTCGTCCGCCCCGAGAGGGTCCGGCGGCTCCCTGCGCG